CCACACTGCCTGCACCTCCAGCCACACATGCACACAGCTCAGCCACACGTGCACATGCAAAGCCCAGTGCCTGTGCCTGCCCTGCATGGGCTCACACACACTGTACAGCTGCACACTCACGTGTCCTAGCGTGCGGTTGCACATCAGCCCTCTCTTCATCTTCGTCTCCTGTGTGCTCCCTGAAAAACAACAGCTCAGGGCTGAGTGGACAGCTCAGAGCGAGCAGCGCTGCCCTCCTTCCCTGCTTGCCCTGCCATGCTGGCATTGAGGTCCCTGCTCTGACAGGTTGATCTCCCACCCCAGACAATGCCAACCGGGTGCTGCTTGCCCTCTTTGTGGCCGAGATGCTGCTGAAGATGTATGCACTGGGACTGCGCCAGTACTTCATGTCACTCTTCAACCGGTTCGACTGCTTCGTGGTGTGTTCCGGGATTTTGGAGACCATCCTTGTGGAGCTGGGCACCTTGTCTCCCCTGGGCATCTCTGTGCTGCGCTGCATCCGGCTCCTCCGCATCTTCAAGATCACCAGGTTAGGGAGGGAGCTCTGTGGGTACTTGGCAGCTCACAGTCCCCAGGCATCACTCACAGTCCCCTCCCCGCACTGGTCTTGTCCCCGAGAAAGGCTGCAGCATGAGCAGAGTTGGTAGCTCCTGGGTAGAGAAACGAGGCCAAATTGGGGATTTCTGTCTCCAGGACAGAGGTCTGTCTGGGAGTGGCAGGAGGACAGAGCTGCTTGAGTTGGTTCTGGGGTGTTGTAAGTGGGGGTGCTGTGGGCCAGAATTCCTGGCTCATCTTTCTGGTCCGGTCTTGTCCCCGAGAAAGGCTGCAGCATGAGCAGAGTTGGTAGCTCCTGGGTAGAGAAACGAGGCCAAATTGGGGATTTCTGTCTCCAGGACAGAGGTCTGTCTGGGAGTGGCAGGAGGACAGAGCTGCTTGAGTTGGTTCTGGGGTGTTGTAAGTGGGGGTGCTGTGGGCCAGAATTCCTGGCTCATCTTTCTGGTCCCTTCACCCACCTTCCCCATCCTGTCTCCCAGTACCCTGTGCGGAAGCATGCCTTGCCTTGTCACACTATGCCTGCAGCTTCATTTCTCCCTCCTGGGGCCCAGTTAGAGCAGTCCCAGTGCCCAGTGCCAACCCAAGGAGGGTTCCTACTTGCTGGACTGCTGGCACATCACCTTTGGAACAAGTGGTCTGTACCCTGTGCCTGCTCAGTCCTGCCCACAGCCTTCCCCACTTCTTCACCTGCCACATGCTCCTGTGTCTCTTCTTCCCCAGGTACTGGACATCACTGAGCAACCTGGTGGCCTCTCTGCTCAACTCAGTCCGCTCCATTGCCTCTTTGCTACTCCTCCTTTTCCTCTTCATCATCGTCTTTGCCCTGCTGGGCATGCAGCTCTTTGGGGGTAAATTTGATTTCGAGGACATGGAAGTGCGGCGCAGCACATTTGACAACTTCCCCCAGGCCCTCATCAGTGTCTTCCAGGTTTGGGGCTGTGGGAAGGGCAGCAAGGTGGTGGGGGGAAGAGGGTTGGAAGTCTCACCTGCACCATGGCTCTTCAGGCAGGAGTTGGGGCTCAGGGGGATGTGTGTTTGTAGGAGGTGATGTGACTTTGGGGCAGGAGCAGGGAAATGGGACTGGGCTCACAATTGGTAATGCGGGTTCAGGGATGAGCAGGGAGAAGTGTTTGGCTGTGGGGCTGGAGGGGCTGTGAGGGTTTGGGGCTGAGCCAGGAGTGCAGGATTAGGCTGTGGGGTTTTGCTGTGCTCTGCTGTGGAGGCTCTTGAGTCTCTTATTACTATTCTGCTCCTAGATCCTGACCGGAGAAGACTGGAACTCAATCATGTACGATGGGATCATGGCCTTCGGGGGCCCATCCTTTCCTGGCATGCTGGTCTGCATTTACTTCATCATCCTTTTCGTTTGTGGGAACTGTATCCTCTGCCTGCAAAGCCAGGCCCAGGCTCCCTGCACTCAGCCCCATAGCATCATCTGCACAGGACTGGGGAGGGAGGAAGAGGGTCTTCCACCAGCATTTCAATGCTTGTCTTAAGCTTTTCAGTTCTGAACAGCAGTGGAACAAACCACAGGCTTCAAGGCTTGCACTGGTGGGGTCTGGGGGCTGGAGGAAAGCACACCACAGAGCAGGTCTGGAAACAGAGAGAAGGCAGAGAGAAGGCAGCCAGCCACATGGACAGGTGCAGGTTAGGGATCACCAGCCAGGGTTATCTCAAGGGTTCAGCTCCGGGAAGGTTTTTCAGCGTACCCTGGAGACCACAGACAGCTCAGGCCAAATCCTCCAGACAGGAACCAAGTCCATGTCCTTAGCACTGTTCCTTCAGATATCCTCCTCAATGTCTTTCTGGCCATCGCGGTCGATAATCTGGCTGAGGCTGAGAGCCTGACCTTAGCCCAGAAGGCCAAAGCAGAGGAACGCAAGCGGCGGAAGATGTCCCGGTGAGTGCTGCCATCCCTGGCCGTGGGAGCTCCCAAAGCAGGTGCTTTGGTGTGTGGGACAGAATGGCATTGCCCATGGCCCCTGCCCGGGGTTCAGTTCCTGTTCTCCCTTCCTCTCTGTTCAGAGGTTACCCAGAGAAGACTGAAGAGGAGAAGCAGGTTCTGACAAAGAAGCTGGAGCAGAAAGCCAAGGGAGAAGGAATTCCCACAACAGCTAAGGTCAGTACTGGTGGGGCTGGGCCTTGGAGAGCTCCTGGGGAGGGACCAGGCTCCTCCTCCCACCAATAAGGATGAACAAAGGCTTGGAGCCAGCCTGGTTCTGGACTCTGGGCCAGAACTGCTCCTCACCTTAGCATCCACTGGTGATGGGGGCTCTCGGTGATGGGGGCTCTCTGGGCCCCCATGTTGCCTGATTCAGCAGCTCCATTGGTGAGAATCCTTTTCCTCCAATTAATTTCCTTGGCCACAGCCAAGTGAGTGGCTGAGATGGGCTGGTGCTCACCAGTGTGGAGGAGAGCAGAGCAAGTCAGCAGCATCCCAAATCTCCTATGCCCACACCAGCACACTCTATATGCAAACCCCTCTGTTCAGCTGTGCTGACTGTGTGCTGAGCTGCCTCGGAGAAGCTTCTGGCCAACAAGTAGTTCCCAATCCACTTTCCAGAGATGCCCCATGGAAACTCACCCAGAAGCTGCTCCATATCTTATTCCACCCACGATATATTTGCATGGCTCCAAGCTCTTGCCCAGCACACATTCCCATGTCCCATCCTCTTGGTATTGCTCTTTGCTCTGATTGCAGCATCCGTGAGGTATTTCCTCTCATTTGGCTCCAGCCTGGGCCAGCACTCCATGTGCTTGGTGCTGCATAGGCCAAATGCAAAGATGCTGCTTATCCCACGTGGCTTCCAAAATAAAGGGGGTCTGGCCAACATATGACATTTGGCAGCAGTGCTGGCATATGTAGCTGCATCTCCTCCTCTCTGTCTCCTTCTTGTTTCAGTTAAAAGTGGATGAATTTGAATCCAATGTCAATGAGATCAAAGACCCCTACCCTTCTGCAGACTTCCCAGGTAAGACTTGTCCCCGACAGGACAGCAGAAAAGCTGGGGAGGCACTCTAGAGGGATGGTGTGTGAGGAGTGAAGGATGTGGTGACTCTCTGCCAGCTTCAGGGTACTGTGGTCCTTCTGGCACAGATGCCAAATCAGGATCACAGGATCGGAGGATTGTCCATAAGGTCATATCTCCTCTCTCTCTCTGGGTGATTCTTCTCCCTCCTCATGGCCACCCTGCAGGTGATGATGAGGAAGATGAGCCTGAAATCCCTCTGAGTCCTCGGCCGCGTCCCCTCGCAGAGCTACAACTGAAAGAGAAGGCCGTGCCAATGCCTGAAGCCAGTTCCTTCTTCATCTTCAGCCCAACCAACAAGTAGGCACTGCCCCTTCTTCCTGCCTCGTGGAGCCAGGCCTGGCCTAGGTACCCCTGGCACTGACTCTTCCCACTGGGGTCCTGTTTGTACCTGACAGCCTGCTCTGAAGTGAACCAGCTCATGGGAAAAGACCTTCTGTGCAGAAGACTGGCACAGACATCCAACCATGCCTAGGGCCTTCATATCCTCAGGGTTTAGCCATAACCCTCCACCAGACTGCCATGGCCCTCATCACATCTAATGTCCCTTAGGCCCCTTGCAGCATCTCATGACATTTCTGTCTCTGACAGGTTTCGGGTGCTGTGCCACAGAACTGTCAATGCCACCTGGTTCACTAACTTCATCCTGCTCTTCATCCTGCTCAGCAGCATCTCACTGGCAGCTGAGGATCCCATCCGGGCTGAGTCCTTCCGCAACAAGGTGCCTGTGGAGATGTGGAGGGTTGGTATGGGTGGGGAAGACCTCATGGAGATACCCAACTCCCCAATAAGGAGGGATTTGCTTGCCAGATGCCATGCCTAAGCAGGTGGCTGTGATTCTGACCCTACCTCTGGGAGGGCTGTGCACTCTCTGGGAGGAGAGGCTGGGTGTGTTTTTCATTCAGGATGCAGCTGGGACAAGTTTTTACTGCTCCATGTCTCAGTTTACTTCTGGGGGAAGAGATCCACTTGGTATGGTGTGTGAGATTACCCTTAGTTTGAGACTTTGATGATTTACTGGGGATAGGGACGTCCTGTGAGGTGGTAAACTGGACCTCTGGTGTGTGCAGTGCCCAGGAATGCTGCTGCCATGCAACAGTGGGAGCCATGGCTCCAGACTTTGCAAGGCACAAATGGGTCTGACAGGGACTCAGGGGTCTCACATGAGACAGCTTCCCAGGGCTCTCAGACCTTTTGGGGATGAGATGGTTTCAGGTGAATCAGGTCATACCTAACTCACCTGGAAATGGAGAGCTGCAGGTTGGGTCATGCACTGGGGAAAATGAGCAAAGCTAGGGGAAGTTCAGAAGTCTTCTTGGCAGTGGGTTTGCAGACTCTGTTGAGCTATATGGGCTCCTCAGTCCTCAGAGTGGAGACAAAAACCACAATTCCAGGATGTTTGAATACACTGGAGCATTTCCCGTGTCACCCAAATCTCATCCAATTCTGATGCTTCTGTCCCCAGATTCTTGGATACTTTGACATTGGTTTCACTTCTGTCTTCACAGTTGAAATTGTCTTGAAGGTGAGTCTCTCACACGATGGTCCTGCCTTGGGCACGGCCCAGCACTTGGGTCTGGATTGTTTTGGCTATGGCCACTCATGCTCTTTGGGCCCAAGCTGAAGGTCCTGTCAAGGGGAGGCTGCCAGCTGATCCTCATGCCCCCAGAGTTCATCCATGCAGTCTGGGTGGCGCGTGACCTGTCCCAGAGGCCACGTGTCCCATCCAGGGAGGTCAGACAGCCAAGTCAGCTGTGCTGTGACACAGGGATGCATCAACCATGGCACCAGTGTTTTCATTCTGACATGCCCTTAAGAAGAAACTTTGAGAAAGAGAAAGCAGTGGGAATATGTGGAGAGAAACAGCAATCCAAGCCACTGCTGCACATTGTTCCCACTCCAAATGTCTTTACTCTTCTTCTTTTTAGTTTGCTGACTGACTCTGAGAGTTTTGTCTCCAGCCTGTGCAGCACAGGGATTTCTGGCTGAAGTCAGCTTCCTGCCTGGCTGCAGAATAGGGCAGGGTCCCCAGGCCATAGAGCTGTGAGGAGCCCCTTGTACCTTGTCCACCCTAGGGCCCTGCCCAGCCTCTCCCCTAACTCGTTCTGCTCCCCAGATGACAACCTATGGTGCTTTCCTGCACAAAGGCTCCTTCTGCAGAAACTCCTTCAATATCCTTGACTTACTGGTGGTCGCTGTCTCCCTCATCTCCATGGGATTTGAGTAAGCACCTCCACGCGCGGTGGGGTGAGCACGGGTCTGTTCAGGCCAGCTGTGGGTGGTGTGTGGAGAAGGAGCAACCAGCCCAAGGGCTGCCCCTGTGTAGGGGGCATCATGCTTAAGGGGACAGGGCCTGGAGAACTGGGAGGCAGGCAGGCAAACTCCTTGAGTCTCAAAGGTGAAGGGTGGGGAAGGAATTCTGTTTGGAGCCACTATCTCCAGCTGCCAGTGTCCCTTGGCCTTATGTAGGGTGATGACCTAGTGGTGTTCACATGTCTCTGCTGTCCCTTGCCACTCACCCCCAGCCCCAGCCTGACCTCCATGGCTACTTAGTGGGGCTGTACTAGCCTGGCCCAGGCAGGGAAATTGTACTGTTTCAACTCCACCTTCCTCCCCAGGTCCAGTACCATCTCTGTGGTGAAGATCCTCCGGGTGCTGAGGGTGCTGAGGCCTCTGCGAGCCATTAACAGGGCAAAGGGGCTGAAGGTAAGCAGGAGGCTGGGACTGGGGGACCTTGGTCTGTGGCAGTTCTCCCAGGAGGTTACGTGGCATTGTGCTCTGTGGGGTTTGTGGGGCCAGGAACCCAATTCCCACTCCCCATCTGTGGAAGGGACTTCCCTATCCCTTCAGCTCTCGGCGGGCTCCTGCTCTTTCCAGGGCTCATCCCTGAAGTGGGAGGGTGTGGGACATGGAACAGGGGCTTGCCCCAAACATGCTCACATGTGAGCTGTCCTCCACCTCTGCAGCACGTGGTCCAGTGTGTGTTTGTGGCCATCAAGACTATCGGTAACATCGTGGTTGTCACGACGTTGCTACAGTTCATGTTTGCCTGTATTGGGGTTCAGCTCTTCAAGGTAAGTGGTGTCTCAGGTGGGCAGGAGAGATGTTCTGCTCAAGCACATCCTGGACAGGCTCATCACCTTGTCACCACCTCGGGGATGGTGTCTGCCAGTGTTGGGGTCAGCACAGGCTGTGCTCTCTGTGCTCTGTGGGAGGATCCACCTGCACCAGCCCCACTGGTAGAAGAGCTTGCAGTGGGGGGAGGGCAGGAAGCAGCCAGGGTACTACCAGGTCCAGACAGCACCTGTAAAGGGCCCAGCTGCCTCACTTCACTTAGACCCTCAGTTCCCCCTTTCTAAGGCAACAAGTGCTTCTGACTGATTTCCTCTCTGCTTTGGATGCAAAGGGTTTCCTTTTTCACAGGACCACTCTCTGGACCTTGGCTGCTCTAAGGCAGAGCTGGCCCTGGCTGAGTTCAGCCTTTTTCTAATGACTGAGCTTAAATTCCCAGCCAAATTTAAGGGAGACATTTCAGGACTCCCTGCAGTCTGAACAGATCTATCAGCATACCTTAACTTTTAGTTAATTCTCTGGTTACTGCTTTCTTTCCTACTTTCCATATAGATGCCTCCCAGATAGGATGAGGTAGATGGGCCTCAGCTCAGGACCATGGAAGGTTTGCTCCCATCACTAGGCAGTGCCTGGGATTGACCCCAGGTCTGCCATGGCTCCTGAAATGCCCTGGGAACTGAGCTGTGTTGGCAGGCAGTGTGGGGAGGCCAGTGGTGGTGGGAGGCCAGGGCTGAAGTCTGCATGGGGGTGGTGGGGGAGGGACTGACTGTGGTCTGGGGCAAAATCAAAACTCCCCAGGGCTTCTGAAGTCACAACACAGCCATTTCTGATCTCTGTTAAATGCAGGGCAAGTTCTATAGGTGCACAGACCCATCCAAGCTGACAGAGAAGGAGTGCAGGTAAGAGCTCTCTTCAGCTCCCAGCTGGGGAGCAGCAGGGGATGGGCTGGGGTCTGCTTGTGTTCCTGCATGGGGATATTGCATCCAGAAAGTGGAGCTGAGGTCTCATGCTGTTCTTCCTCACCTTGGGATAATCAGGAGCACACACAGGGCTGTCCTTCCCTCCCGGGGACCAAGGAGGCCCTGACCAGTGCCACAGTGTATGGGCTGAGGGGGGGCCCTGCCAGTGATCATCACATCCCTTCTGCTGCAGGGGTCAGTTTATCAACTATGTGGACGCAGACCCCACGCAGATTGAGGTCCAGAAGCGTATCTGGCTGCACAGCAACTTCCACTTCAACGATGTCTTCTCAGCCATGATGTCACTTTTCACGGTCTCCACCTTCGAGGGCTGGCCAGAGTGAGTTGGTGCCATGGGATGGTCTGTGCTGGGAGCAGAGCGCTGCCACAGTCTGCCCTGCAAGAAGAGGTGCCCAGGCTAAGGAGCAGGGCCAGCCATCCTGTCAGTGGAGCTGGCAAAGTCACTCCAGCAGCCCTGTCCCACTGTTGTGTTCGGGATGTCCCCAGAGCTCTCTCTAACCTTCAAGAGGAGACATAGCCTTTCCCATCTAATCAGGAGCTCTGTTGCCTCGCTTTCCCTCCCATAGGCTGCTGTACATGGCTATTGACACCAATGCTGAGGATGCAGGCCCAATCTACAACTACCGGGTGGAGATTGCAATGTTCTTCATCATCTACATTATCCTCATTGCCTTCTTCATGATGAACATCTTTGTGGGCTTTGTCATTGTCACCTTCCAGGAGCAGGGGGAGAACGAGTACAAGAACTGTGAGCTGGACAAGAACCAGGTAATGGGACTGCTGGGACAGGACAAGGAGGACCGGCCCTGGATCTGGCACTGCTGGGGCTGGCTGATTAGGATATGCCTCTCTTTGTGGTGGCACTGCTGGCACAGATGAGTTGAACCTGCCACATGTCTGTTTGCTGCTGGAGCAGGGCCAGCTGGACCCTTGCCTGGCACAACACAAGCCTTCCAAGGGAAGGGCAGAGGGGACCAGAACCAGCAAGTGGGCTTCATGGGACAGGTGGGGTGCCCAGCCTGAGCTGGAGCAGAGGGTTTTGCCCAGTTCTGGGCTCCCCAGTACAAAACCAACATAGATGTATTGGAGTGAGTGCAGCAAAGAGCCACTGAGATGACTGACGGTCTAGAGCATCTGTCATATGAGGAGAGGGTGAGACCTGAGTCTGATGTTGAGAAGAGAAGGCTTATAGGGATCTTACCTGTGGGTATAAATATTTAATGGGAAGGTGTAGAGGAGGTGGAGCCAGGCTCTTTTCAGTTGTGCCCAGTGACAGGATGAAAGATGATGGGCACAAACTGAAGAAACCAAGACATTCCATCTAGATGTTGGCAAAATTCCCTCTTTTATGGTGAAGGTGGTCAAGCACTGTAACAGGTTGCCCAGAGAGGCTGTGAAGTCTCCATCTTTGGAGGTATTCAAAAGGCAGCTGTCCTGGGCACCATGCTCCAGCTGGCCCTGCTTCAGGCAGGGAGCTGTGACTAGACCATCTCCAGAGGCACCTTCCACTGCCACCCTTCTGTGATGCTGTCGTGCTGTCATTCTGGCTGGGGACAGCAAAGCTGAAAGCAGCAGAGGCATTGGCAGAGATTGTGGGACATGCTGGGGAGGACATTGGACAGGGGTGACTGCCAGCCCAGGAGTGCTGGCATGCTCCTGCACTGAGGCAGCATGGGCAGCTGGAGCTGGGGGTGCTGGAGTGATGTGAGCCACATGGGAATGCAGCAGAGATAGCCCCAGGCTACTGGGGAGGGACAGGCCTGGGCAGCCATCTCAGTGTCCCCTTCTCCACTGGTTCATGTGATGTCTTTAGGCTGCCTTTGGCCAGTCCTTGAGAGACCCTGGGGAAGTGCCAGGATGACTAGGCAGGCTTGGGGCTGGAGGGGTCAGGCTGAGGGCAGCATGGCCATCTGTGGAAGCAAGAGGTGACTTTGGAAACTCATGCCACATGGGTGCCCTGGGGTGTATTAGCAGGAAGCACAGCAGATACATGACCCATTGCTGTCCCTGGCCCGTGTGGCTGGGCTGAGGGAGGAGGGGGGATCCAGCTTGGATGTGTGGTGTTGCTGGTGGTGCTGAGTCTGTGCCTGTGCCTTGGACACTGCCTCATGCTCCGTGGTGGGGTCACACCTGCTCTCCCTCCTTTCCCCAGCGCCAGTGTGTGCAGTATGCGCTGAAAGCTCGCCCCCTGCGCCGCTACATCCCCAAGAACCCCTACCAGTACCAGATCTGGTACGTGGTGACCTCCTCTTACTTTGAGTACCTCATGGTCTTCCTGATCCTGCGGAACCCCATCTGCCTGGGCATGCAGGTAAGGGGCACATTTCTCACCATGGTGGGGGGTGGAGGGGGGTCTGCAGCAGCACATGGGCTGGCTCAACCCTACAACATCCAAGAGAGCTTCTGGGGAGGAGGTATTTGCTCATGGTGGGATAGGAGCAAAGTGGGACTGATGGGATGTGGAGAGACCAGAGAAGGGGCTGCAGGGGGGAAGTTTCCTTTTTGCTGAGCCATAGATCTGTGGGACGGGGGTCTGCATGCAGCCCACACATCTGAGTTCACAGTGGAGACTGAACCTGCTGTCAGACAACTTGACTCCTGCCTTCCCCTCAGCATTACAACCAGTCTCCAGAAATGAACCATGTCTCTGACATCCTCAACGTGGCCTTCACCATCCTCTTCACCCTGGAGATGGTCCTCAAGCTCATGGCCTTTAAAGCCAAGGTGAGAGGAGGGCATGGTCAACATAGAGAACAGGAGGGGTCTGGGGCCAGGCCAGGGGGTCCAATTACCCTGCATTTGGCATCTCTTGAGTACAAACTCCCCCACCCCTTCAGCTCCAGACAACTTCTCCTTGTGAGATCCTTGGGGGCACCCATGCACGGGACCTGGGAGTTTCTGGAAGGACTACTGCTTGTCAGGGCTACCCTTGCTAGCCAAATGCGATCCAGTCCAACTGGTCACCGTTCCCATCTTCAGGGTCATGTCACTGGTGGGGTTACAGCTCTAGCCACCCCGATTCACCCTCCTCATTTCACTCAATTGCAAGACAGGACCAAACAACCACGCAGAGGGTTCAAGGTCTGACCACCTTCTGAGAGTCACAGAGGATCCTTCTGGTAGACCTTCCTTTGGGCTCCAGCATCTATCTCCTCTTTGACTTAAAACCTTGGATGTTCACTTGTCTTCTCTGGCTCTTCCCCAACAGGGCTACTTTGGAGACCCCTGGAATGTCTTTGACTTCCTCATAGTGATTGGCAGCATCATTGACGTCATCCTCAGTGAGATAGACGTAAGTTTCAGGGGGCTTGGGCACACAGGTGTCCCCACCTGGGGTTGTGCTGCAGCACCTGCCCCAGGGTGAGGCAGGAGTGCTGGGATGGTGTCTAGCTCTGCAGAGTGCTTGGTGTCCTCTCCTCTCTCCCTGCTCTGCTTGGTTCTGAGGAGGGACAAGCTAGGATCAGCCCATGGCACGAGTGCTTGGAGAGCGCAGCCATGGCCTTTTGAGCCTTAAAGCACTGTTCAAATATTCCCAGCTGGCCAACATGTCACATTGCCCCCTCCCCTCTGGTCCTCTGAATCTGTAGACACTGGGATCCTATGGAAAGCAGCCACCTAGGACTCTGCCCCACTCATCCTCTGCGTACGTGGGCAGACAGTCACACATGCATCCAAACTCAGATCAGTGCAGGTGGGAGGACAGGGGCTCCCACAGCTCCACACTGCTGGCCCACAAGGAAGATCAGACACGTCAGATTTCAAGGCATTCGCTTTGCGTGTGTCCCTTTACAGACTGGCCTGTACACATACACACACCGATGGTGTATGTGTGCCTGTGCATACTCTAGACATCACTGCAGGAGCTCTGCACCATAAAACCTGTGGGGCCAGTGCCTCAGGCAGTGCCTGTGTGGTAAGGGCTCTGCTGGGAGCATTTTCATTGCAGTGCTGGGGAGTTAGCATGCCCCTGCCTTCCATAGCACTGGGACATCCACACCTGTGTCTGGCTCTGAAAATGCCCCCTGCCCCGGGAGGTGTGTGCTGCTTTGAGCAAACCTGATGGTAACTCCAGAAGTAGCTGTGGGATGGGTAGATGATAGATTAACCCTCTCCAGTGACTTGGCATGTGTCTTCTCATAGGAGCAGGGCTTGCCAGCTCAGGTGTGCTAAAGGGTTGTGTATGGCAGAGCTGCTGCCCCTGCCACCCCTTCACGGGGTCACCTTCAGATGTTCTCTGTGCAGGGAGGAGAGGGTGTTCAAGGGCCCTTGGGGGCAATCACCTTCTTCTCTGGAGGGTGGTCCAGGGCTCTCAGAGCTGGCATGAGCAAAACCATCCACCTTCCTCTCCTGTGACAGCCCCATGCTCCTCTCTGTGCAGCCCTGCATGTGGGTACACCCATCCTCTAGACTCTGGGCTTCTCAGCCTTGATGAGCTCCCAGATTTCATGCCACTGCCAGCAGCTTTCATCTGTCACCAGCTCCTCTAGGTCCCCATTCTCATCCCCCAGCTCTCTGCACCTGTGACTTGGTTTTCCCATTGCCTGCCAGGCTCAACAGGTGCTCAAGGCCCTGCACTGGGCAGAAATTTTTGGTCCCTGTGGAGTAAGAGATCACTTGGCACAGATGTCAGAATCCTGCTATGCTTGGCCATGAGTCTGTGGGAATGCCCAGGTGACAGGTCACAGGCACCTGGAGGAGTCCAGTGCCCTGACTGGGCTGGCAGGGACTGCCACTGGTGCTGTGCTTTGTGTGCCACAATGCTGCTGGCAGTGGCAGGGCTGTCAGAAGGCCAGGCAAGATTTTGGGAATGGTCCTATATGGCCTGAGCTTCCTGGGTCCTCTCCTCCAGGTCTGTGTGCAGGGGCACTAAGAGCACTGGTTTCCTTCCCCAGTCCCCCAAGCTCCCTGGGAACTTCTGTCGCAGGCAGCTCTGCTCTGGCAGTGAGCATCTATGGTCACTCAGGGCTGTGCCACCTTTCCTTCATGTGCTCTCTTCTCCATCCAGCCCACATCTCTCCCGGCATCAATCAAGTGTTTCCCAGCCATCTGGTGATGTGCAGCAGGTTTGGGATTAGGATTAGCAGGTGCAGGGGTGGGGCAGGAGGAGGGGGAAGAACCTCATCTACCCTTCCGGTAAGTCTTCTCCCTGC